TGTATATATATATATATTCATGTATGAAATTGGGTGTATTTGCTTAAGCGAAAAAATTTGGCATAACACATACGTACCAACCTCGATTTCATTCAGAGATCCAGGTTGAATCGACGGACGCAAAACAACCCGTCCTCCAATTCGAAGCAGGCAGCGCCCAGGACGAAGCCAATTCTGCAGCCAGCGAAGCCGGAAAATTGGTCCGGAGACTCAGAAGCCCTAAACCCCAAAGCCTCGAGCGTAGTGACAATCAATTTCAAAGTTTGTTCACATGCTGTTTTGTGGTATTTGAATTCGGATAATTAAGATGGCTTGAGGCGCCAGCAGCCCGCGCGGCCACAGCCTCCACCTCCGCCCCGATCTCGAGAAAGACAAGCCATCCCAGAGATCAAGGCAAGCACGTGGTTTCAGACGAACGTTGTTTCAGGATGGGGACCTCAAACTCTTGACCCCGGCACCGACCTGTGGCAAGACTCGGCAAGACTCAATAAACGGTTCTGTGGGAGAGGGAAATTCCGCCGCACCGCGTTGTAGCGAGCTATCTTCCACAACTCGGGTAGATTAGGGTTCCAAAGCCGTCAACATGCCGATGTTCGTTTGCAAATCCCTCTGCAGCACTTTGAACTTGAACTTGTTCAGAGTCTGGAGGCTGGGTTTGGGTTTCCGGTTCTTCACAAACCTTAAACCCTAATGACCTCGTGGTCGTGATCCTGATTTTTTTGAGGTGCCTGCAGCCACCTTGTCTGCTCGAGCCACAGGCTTAGTCCAGTCAGAGATACAACTGGACATTCCACGGGAGTGAATTGTCAATGGGAGCGAGCGCGGCCAAGCTGTCCTGGTAGCTCATGTAGTAGATTCATGCTTCAGTGCGATGTATTGTATCTTCGTAAGATGTCAAGCTGTGAAGGTGGCCTTCTGTTCCTGCGGTGCTGCTTCACGTCTCAATAGCGATTGAAACCTCACCAAATCAAGAGCATCAGACTTCCTACTGTCTGCTGCCGCATCTTGTCAGCATCTACTTTAACATCGTGGTCCGTTCTTTTGTGAGCGGCAGAAACCACATCAAGTTGTACATTGTTTTCGCATTTGGCGCTGGCTCGCATAGTGAGCGCAGTGCCGACTGTCACATGGAGTACCTCGTCGGACATGTTGTGCGATGGTGCGTTCTGTAACATTTTCTCGACATGCGAGGTCTTATGCTTCGCTTCGATGCTTTGCATCCTCAGACCCCAGTCCTGTAATTCGTTTACTACTTCTCCCCAACAGCCCAGGCATCGCAGCTGCCTTTGTGGCGTTATCTCGCACCGGATGGGCAGGCAACAGACTGCTCGGGCCGTCAGACATCACGAACGAATTTGTGGCAAAGCGCACGTGGAGCACGCGCGTTATGTTTATCCTACATGTCCAGAGCGGATTGTAGTATAGTTTGTAAGATACAGAGATCCTTAGTTTGTGTCCGGCCTGGATGAAGTGGCTACCAGAGGCTGAAGTCCAAGACACCCTTCTTGCTAAAAGCGCGTTGACCTTCTCAGACGTCGTGAGAAACACAGTGAAGTCTCTGGGCACGCGGCATCGTCGAATATCGCTCGATGTTTTTCAAAGTCCTACCTTCAGCTTGTTGTGGAGCCAAAAATTAAAAGCCCTGACCAGGAACACCCCGGAACCGTAATCCTGATGCCCCAGACGCGATCTTATGGGCGTAGGAGCGGCTCGCGATTCGTTCGGGGCCGGGCCTGGATGCACCGACGACCGGCCTCTCCTTGGGGTCCGGGGAGGTGCACAAGTGGGCGGGCATCATTGACAGAGTACGTTAACAGCAGATGCTTCGCAGGGCTATTATCGGCTAGGCAAGCAAACTTCGTAGCCAAATGTCTAGAGCAGGCGTTCGGATCTGAAATCACATGCCTTGACATCGGATGTCGGCTTTTGTTCAGGGCTATTTGGATCCACGGTCAGATTGATTGTGGTTCGAAAAGTTCATGCAAGCTAATATTGCAGCATAAACCCGCATTTCTCGGTACATCGTAGCACCATCGAGAATGGCCCAGATCAGCGTCAGTTTGCACATTGTGTCGTGTCATTCTCTTGTGCGTAATGCTTGTGATTCCTGCTCCGACGGACCGACTACGGCGACATGTTGAGCCCTGCATCGTAAATCGAAGCCTAAAATCTGAAAACGAGCGGAACGACGTCTAATCTTCGCGAGTGGATGTTGCCGTGGCTTGTTGCTGACGTCTCTTGCCCCACAACTTTCCATCTGGGCAGCGCGTGGCTAGAAGTAATTGCTTTGAAGAACACGAACTCCAGACACGCGCAAACCCTATTACATGTTGCTTGCTCTTTTTGTTGTTTGCTTACGTATGTATGCATGCATGCATACGTGCATGTATGTATGTATGTATGTATGCATGCATGCATACGTGCATGTATGTATGTACGTACGTACGTATGTATGTATGTATGTATGCATGTATGTATGTATTTGTGTATGCATGTACGTACGTACGTACGTACGTACGTACGTACCTACGTAGGTATTGTGTGTATGTATGTATGTATGTATGTATGTATGTATGTACGTATGTATGTATGTATGTATGGTATGTAATGTAATTAATGTATGTAATGTAATGTATGTAATGTAATGTATGTAATGTAATGTATGTAATGTAATAATGTAATGTAATGTAATGTAATGTAAGGTAAGGTAAGGTAAGGTAAGGTAAGGTAATGTATGTACGTATGTACGTATGTATGTATGTATGTATGTATGTTTGTATGTATGTATGCATGTATGTATGTATATGTGTGTGTATGCATGTATGTATTAATGTAATGTGTGTATGTATGTACGTATGTATGTATGTATGTATGTATGCGTGTATGTATGTACACATGTATGCATGTATGCATGTATGTATGTATGTATGTATGTGTGTGTGCATGTATGTAACTATGTTTCTATGTATCTAAGTATCTATGCATGCATGCGCATGTACGCATGCATGCATGCATGTATGTATGCATGTATGTATGTATGCATATATGCATGTGCGTGCGTGCGTGTGTGGGTGGGTGTGTGCGTGTGTGTGTGTGCACTTTTCTCGAACATGATATAAGGGGTTCACAACCCTTGCGCGTTTTCAAGCTTTTCAGTGCAGTTAGCATCATGTCGGCATGCGCGATAAACATCGTGAGGAAATTTTGTATTGCAGGGGGCCAGGAACCCATAGTCACCTGTCCTGGCCAACGAAGACCAGGTTATGTGGGGGTGCAAACGTACCTGCAAACGCTGGGCCCCTGTGCCAAGATCAGAGTGTTTATGTTACCACAGTTGTCGATTGAACACACAGTTTGCAGCTATAACATCCCGCAGCCTTTGACCATATGCACGTTTGCCGCAATCTGTTTTCACACAGCAACCGCACATCTTCACAACACAACATCTAGCTGACACGTAATGTAACATCACATCCGTGAGTGCGCGACCACTTTCTCAGAGTGTGTGTGTGTGTATTTGATTTTGTGTTTGTGTATACATATATACATATATACATCTACACATATATATATAGACAGAGAGATACACTTTATACAAAATAGAGACATATATTTGGTATAGATAATACATAGATGTATAGATATAAACATACATATACATATACACGTGCACATATGTATATACATGCAGTGTTGCTTGAACGGTTTCATACATACATGTGTGTGTGTATATGTGTGTGTATATATATATATATCTCTCTCTCTCTCTCTTTTGAATATATGAACCCCTTTGAGTACGCAGGGCATTGTAACAGCATGGATGAATCCACTAGCTGCTGCCCCTGTCCCAATCATGGCTTCGAAAGCAAGCAGCAAGTGGAATGGAGTAGAAGCTCTGCAGCTACAGGAACCTGGAGAAAAGGAGTTAAGGCGGCTAAGGCTTCAGTGCCAAGAGTAGGAAATCCTTGTGCATGGACTGCGACGGCTCAATGTAGAAAGGGGTTTAGTCCGGAGTAGAACCGCATATAAGGGTCGAAGGCAGAGCACCAAACCAACTCTTGGGTTCGAGCCCGACACAGGAAGTTGATCTTCATTCTCGTTCTCGCCCTTCGCAGGTGTTCCCTGTAAGCCTGGAGAAGCCCGGCGACGGCGGCGTGCTGTTCTTGAGGACGCCAGGTACACGTCCTTCGTTGCTTGTTGAAGGCATAAATGTGCTTGAAAATGGCTTGAATATACATTTTCAACCGCGTTAGGTCACGTAATGGTGTTGTCATGCTATGGTGGGCATGCTTAACATCATGTCTTTGTCTTCCCGTATCACATGCTGGTGCGCCACCCTTTCACCTGAGTTATAGCTGCGACCATACCCTGACGAGAACCGTCACCTTTGCGGAAGTCGGGTGTTCTTGCGGTGACAATGTAACCGCGCAGACCGGCAAGCTTTCGTGCAGCTTTTCGAGTGAGATTGGCAGCACTGGACTTTGGATTTAGAATTCAGATACCGAGGAGCAAGACCTAGGTCGCTGCGGCTCGAGTTTCGGAAGTACTTGTCCGTCATGTCAAACATTTGAATGCTGCAAAGCCTTGTGTGATCACCGTATATGTACCACTATTCTAGGCCTGTGAGAGAGTGAGTGTCTTGGCTCGACATGCACCTATAAACTTTGAGAAGACGGAGGCCTTGAATGAACAAGTAAGTTGCCCTAACTTCCGGAGTGAAGCACGCTGGCGGCTTGGGACCTCCTAAACCGTGGAGGGTCGCCTGTGCCCACTGTGTAATTATATTTACAGTACAACACTCCCAGGCCCTAGTCGTTTTCATTGAGACCCCTTCGTTGCTGATGGTTATGCCACGGCTCAAGCATCCAGGATCGCAGACGGTCGAGGGTGGGTGATGCCGGGCCTGTGCTTGCTGCTTCAGGTTCTTGTGAGCTTCTAGTGTCTGGGGCAGGGTGCAGGGTGCAGGGTTCGATATCGGACATTTACGGTGCAGCTTCCAGGATTTTAGCGCCGTGACTTTGACGCTCTGTAGGGTTAATTCATTCGGCGTGACTTTTTTGCTGCAAACTACATCGGAAGGGCGTGCATCAAATATGTATACTGTACATGCCTGTATGTATGTGTGTATATATATATACATGTATGTGTACATGAATTGTTTTCTCAAGCTTTAAATGGGCAAGATCCTCCGTGGTTACTT